ATTTAGGGTAGACTACTAATGACAGGTTTAGAAAAATTAATTTACTGTCATTAAGTGGTCTGTGGTTTTGTAATTGAATGTCTTGTGGAAAATTGGTGTTGTTTTAGTTCAGTCAACTTGAATAATTATTAACAAAGCCGTCGAACAAACAATTTATATCTAAAGTATATCTAATGTTTTGAAGAATATATTATATATACCGCAAATTACATTGCTCGGCATATACGAGTAAATAGTAACAGAAGTAACACAACAAATGCCGTTAAGTCGGATGATTTGGACATCTTGATTTGTTTGTATTTTAAACTTTTCACACATAAAATAAACTTGAAATGTTCAGAATATGAAAATTTTGATATCTATGTTATACGAATTCATGACAAATGTTGCAAATTAAAATGTACTTGAATAATAAATTATGTTACATACATATGTAATTAAAGTCCTTACTTCCGGAAGATTTGAAAAAGATAACTTGACTGGTGGTGAATAGTGTGATTATATGTTGGTTTTCTGAACTACTGGGTCGAATTTTGATCTCGTGTTATACAATATGTGTATAACTTTGAATTTTTTTTTTTTAAATTGTTAATATTTTTAATTTCTATTATTAATCGTTTAGCCTCAAAATGAGATGTTGTAACCAAATAAATACATAATTGTCAATTTTGATGCAATAAATATATTTGTTAACTCTCAATTTGTTTTATTACTTTCAGAAACTACAACTTTGCTACGAAATAAACTAGAAAAATAAATAAAACCAATATTTGGACCCAAATATCTAAGATAGATAAATTTATTTTAATAAAATAAACAATATGAATAAACGTAATATTATTTTGAAATCCTTTGTGAAATAATAAAAGATGTTTTGGTTAGAAAAGAAACCAATTAAGTTATACCTAATAGTAGTTGACCTAAATTATTTCAACAACGTGAAGAAGTTTACATTTTGCGAAAAAGAAAACTAGATTTAAGTATTGTTCTAGTAGGGTTAACCATAATTATTGTATAGAATGATATTGAATATATACTTAGATTTAATTTTTGTATTAGTAAAACATAAAACCACTTAAAAAGATGTTAAGATTTAAGAAATATATAATTTTCCGATCAAACGTAGAATTTGGAATCGTGTTAATGGTTTTTTCTTCAAATTATTATCCATTACAGTTGGTGCATAAATTTTCATCACAATGTTTAAATTTGATAAAAATATCACGGGGTTCACGACTAGTAATCTACTTAATAGTGTTTACACAAATACTTTGCACAACGGAGTAGTAAAAGTCAATATTTTCGATGCGGTTGAAATACTATTAATAAAAAATATAAAAGGGCACTTTTATTTATTTTTAAAATTGTACACAATTTGTATAACTGTTAACGTGTATTATTTACAAATTGTTACACGAAGATATAAACAGTAATATATATTTTAACTTTATTATGCTCATATATTACTCTGCAGTTTTGGTATAAGTTAAATATTATTTTATCTAAATAAAGATAAAACATAATTTATTTTAATATATTTAGGTAGCTAACAATTAAAAATAAATGCATTTTAATCTAGATAGAAAAAAAATTGTATTTTAAACTTTGAGTCTAACTTCTTGAAAATACACCTTAGATACTAATATACTACCACAGATTACATGAAACCAGATGGTGTATTCTAGAATTTTCTGAAAATGTAGATAATCCATACTATATTCAAAGCCGTAGCTTATTTATTTTTTCTGGCTACGGTAGTCTAAGTTGCTCTATTAATTTAAAAAATGTAACAAAGATTTAACTTTTTTTTTTTGTAAATACAATATACAATTAAAAAAATGATTATCTTATTAGATTTAAAAATTATTATGGGAAATTATTATTTATTTAATATTTGTGAATATCACTATATTTTATTGTTATGGCGCTGTAATAATGTCTTATTCGTTCACTTGCAATTTTGCACTAAGGATAAATCCTAACGGCGACAATCTGTACATATAATAATATATTTAAATACTTATATATATGACTATACTGTAAAAAAATGAATAGTAATTTCTTAATATTCAAGACATCTATTTTATATTTATAGACTTAAAAATTTGATACATTATTATGGTAAAATATTTGGTACAATACAATTATTTCTAAAATGTGTTCACTCTGACCAGAGAGTGTTATTGAAACTGCATTAAATAAAATCAAAATGGCAAGTAGTTATATTTCAGCACGGGAAGTGCACCATTTGATTAAATCGGTGTAATCTGTGATATTACTTATTACTTCAAAATTATTTAAACAGGCTATAAAGTAGGAACTCGATCAACCGACACTGTTGAGACCGGGACTATGACGGTTTATCAAATAGGTGGTTAACAGACATTTTGCTATAAACATATATACTTTACAAAGTGTGTACTTTTAGAAAATATAATACATATATTTACTACACATTACGCACCATACTAAAAACTACCAAATTAAAACTAACAATTTCAAACAATATAATATTTTATTTTATTTTATTTTGTTTTTTTAACACTCGTGCTTTTTTAATTGCAATATTTCGTATTTTATACAGACCGGATTACTTAGATATTTTTCAGATATAAATCACATTTAATTTTAGTAGCCACATCAAATATAAAGACATTTTATAATGTGATTATACATATTACAATTTTACTAATTTTGTTTTTTTTTTCCAAGTAAATTAATTTATGATGTCATCTACAGTAACTGTATTTGCACAGTGAATATTCAACGGTACTAATCCATATAGTCCACACGCTTGAGTTTCTAAGGTATGTTTTTAGTATTTTAATGTTTTTTAAGCAAAAAAATTCAGTTATAATTTTATTAGCATGTTTCCTCATTTTATTTGTTCGACTGCGACAACAAATTTTGAACAATTAAACTGATATAATAATAACACATAGACACAGATAGGCGAACAAATATTATACTATCCAGCTTTTGACAACGATAAATCGAAAATATTAACTAGAGCTAGTAGTCACTTGTGTGGCATTTCCGGGAGACGGGTGTGTTGCCCATTTTTCGGAAAAAATAAAATAAAAGATACACACTTGTGATTACCATTACCATCAAAATACTCGTAATATAATAGTTTATATGGTTGTAATAAATATGTTTATTTTTACGATAATTGATTATACATTTTAGAATTTGTTCTATATGAATAAAAATTATTATGTATATTTATAAGTTAAAACACATAATTATTTACATTCAACTGTCATAATAGCATTACAATGTATTTAATAAACCGAATAACATATGACGGCTAATGAACGTTATAGATATAAAAAATGTTTTCGACAGTCATCGAATAAAATTTCTATAAATTCAAGAGGGGTGTCCAAACAGCCAAACCCCCTATCCCCCTCTTTTTTGTGTCAATGGTTGGTAGTAAACATTATTAGTCAATAATTAATAACTATAAATTAACAATAATTTTAAAAATTAAGTATAAAAATTTAGAATACCTGTAATATTTTACACGTATCACAGTAAATTATGATTGTTGTGAAACTTTATATAGTTTTAGGGTGTATTTAATTGTATTAGTAGTTCACTAATATAAATTTAAATACAAACTAATACTAGACAAACAATTTTTATTAGGTAAGATACTTGTTATATTATGCATATTCTACATATAATAAATTAAAGAACACTTTATTCGATGTTAAAAATAATAATATAAAATGCAATTAAATAAATTAAATCTGACTGAAGTAGCTCGTAAGTCATTCTTACTAATCGTTTTCCCATTAATTTACCAGCTCACTATTCACCAACATAACAACAACATTAAATCTTTAATTGATAGTTTGATCTCGAGCTCGTAAAAGTGTATAATATATAATTTTATATCGTAATTGTTGGTACCGGGATTGTTAAATAATTCAAATTTCAATAAAATAAATCGACAATACACTTTTGTATACAGATAAATTTATCTAGATACATTTATCAAGAATAGATAAATGATTTTAGAAACATTTTTAACTCGGATAATTATTTATGTAACATGCAACTATTTACCTAGACACGATATAATGTGTCTAAATAAATATCTAGATAAATTTATTTAGATAAGTTCAGCACTGTTTGTCAGAAAATGTTTGATTTTCATGGCATCATACAAAAGTATTCAAATTTTTATGAGGTAATCCTTACATATATATATGTATAAAAGAATAGGTCTTTTTTTATCTGCCAATTTTGTCATGACACTATTTAACATTTTTCCAATTTTTTTTGTTTGTATAAAGTTGTTCCAAATACCTTCCTAAGTGTCACCACATCCTTGGATTTTTTAATTTTTTTGTCGGAGGAGTAGTAGAGGGGGTATTAGAAAAATTTTGAATAATGTCATTACAAAATTGGAAAATTAAAGAGGTATGTTCTTACATTTATTTACGAATAAGGATTATAGAATAATTTTTAATAATATATGTATAGAACCATTTGAATCATTTATATTATTATTATTCAGCTACTACTACTATTTAGCACTTGATTAAATTAAGTAAAATTATTTTTTTCTTCTTTAAAACACAACAATGTATGTTGATATAATTATTTCATTTTGAGTAAGCAAAAAATATACACGGGTGAAGCCGAGTAATTCAATTAGTTATAAATATAACTATATATATATATATACAAGTATATATCGTCGTATAGATACTTTTAGTTGAAATTTTTTTTAAAAATTTCAAATAACTTGAAAAACAACGTTTCTGAAATATTACCTGTCTCAATTTTTTGATCTAAAAAGTATACTCCCGGGAAGATTTACTGCTCCTCCCCCACTTAAATTTTCAAAAACAAATCTATCTTACAAATCCATTATGACCTTTGTTTCAATTATATTACGTAACATGTTATCCCATTAAAAAACTTGTGTTATTAATAATCATGCTATAACTGTGTAAAATTAATCTTGTGTTCATGTTTTGTTGTAGTTGTGAAGAATAATTCTCAAGTCATTTATTTTGAGTAGATTTCATTCTGTACATTTACATAACAGTAAGTATTACACTATAATACTACTTTAAAATACATTTTAATATTATGATTATACTGTTATAACAAAATCAGAAATAAAGATTCTGGTTTATGAACTTAGCGTGTTTCGAAGTACATAATAATATAAAAATAAATACAGTATTACGTTGTACTAAAAAATTCTTTATAAGATTATTAAAATTAAAATTTAACAACGACCTTGCATTGAACATTTAAGTTATAACCATTATAACAAAAAACGATCAATAAAGTTTTCAATATAACTCGTAAAATTAACATCAAAATATGTATTAATGCTTTAGATACATATCAAACTAATTAATACATTAAAAAATGAAACATAATAATTAAGGTTTAACGAAAAACTGTAGGAAATGGAATACTTTCTGTTATTATTTTTATATACAAGAATAAAACATGTATAAACACTCTTTTAACAGAACATTTATTTTAGGTGTTCTTAATTATTTTATAATTTTTATTTTACAAGTTTTTAACATAATCAATCTTATTTTGTTATTTTGAGTCAATATAGATTTTAAAAACATTTAAAGTTTTTTTACTTATAAATGAACATTATATGATCAGTTATTTACATATTTTGTTAATAAATAATTTATTTTTTTGGTTTTTTTTCCATTCAAAAACTTTAAATTACATTATATATATTTATAATATAATTGTTTACTCGTACATTAATACATTTTATCGTATAAAATTAAAAATCCATATGAATTATTCACATTTCAATAATACTTGCTTATTGTAAAAATGTACTAAAATACACTTTTTAAAATTTAATTTTATATAATAAATGTATCGAACCATAAAATATAAATGTTTATATATCTTTATGACACATTTATTGAGATTTTTAACTAGTATTCATAATTTTATAATGCCGTTTAATTATAATTGTATAAGAAAAGTAAAATAATAATAATAATAATAATTTTTAATATATTATACAATTATGCGGAAATTGCCGCAACAGTGTTATAAATAATATAGATTAGTTTTTGCACAGAAAAATGTAATATATTGTTTTGTAAATCGATGCGGCCGATATATACAGACATTTATGAACAATTCTAGATTTATTTATTTATTATTATATTATTATTACCCGATTACAATTAAAACGATGATAATATTGTACTAAATAACGAAAACATTCGAATTTTTAAAATCGAATGGAAAAATAATAATAGCGTGAGCAAATAAAAATTCAATGACCAGTGAAATGTTGACACCTAAAATCTGGTAGTAAGTAAACTTTTGGACTGTAAAAATAGACCGATGAAAACAAAAGAAAAAATACATACAGAGTTAAAGGTTCCTAATAGAATTAAAAAAAAATAGATAGAGTTTTTGCAGAAAATTACTGTATAACAACTGTACACACTTATTAATTTATAATTGCGCCTAGAAATATATTTCATTCAATTGAATTTAAATAGGATTAATGCAACATGACATATAGTATGACTAATTATTCTTATGATAAATAACTTTGATATTAAGGTCATATTTAAGCTATGATATAACATTATGTATTGGTTTTCTATTCGTGGCTGTGTGAATAAAAACCTAGTGTAGGAGTTGCAATGATTTTTTAATCGTTACACTGATTAAAAAAATATTTAAATGAGTATGCCATGCACAACGCAATTAAAATTCGTTAATTAATAAATATTTGATCTACATTACAATAAACTTTTTAAAAAAATGCAATTTAAACACCTATAGTATATGATGACCTCGAGGCCAATCGAACATATCATTTATAAAGGACCAATGAACGATATACATGAATCTACACATGTAGTAATATAACAACAACTATACTACGTGTAATTCTATGAAATACATATTTAAAAACAAATACACATATTCATAAATGTTACGTACCCGTCGGGTGTCATATGAACTTTTACCGTAAGTGAGTGGATTTTTTTTTATCCCTATACTCCACTGAAATATTATTGAGAGACGCTTATAATAAAATGTTTGTACGTCATTTTCATAATATGCGGGCCCCTTATATTATGTGAAAAAAACGCGTGTTCGTTTTCATCACGTTTCCGCCACGCATTTTTCGAACGACATAACATTTACAAGTATAAAATACTACGACGTATAATAATAATAATACAATGCTCTCTGGATTTTCATTACATGCGATGAAAGTGTCGTTCTTTTTTAATGTTTCCGTGAAATATATGCTGATTATATTATTTTATATTTTAGTGCTCCCCCTTTAAATACAAACATGATTTTAAAAGAGTATTCACGACAGTATACGATACACATGAAAATATATAATGTTGACAGTATTTCTGCACCAAAATAATTTTCATCAGTCCTATACCTTATTGTGTGAGTGTTAAACAATATTAATTATAATATAATCATATTCAATTAATTATTACATCGATTATAATTTTAAGTGTTAATTTCGTAATCGTTCAAATAATGACTATTTAAACACACACAAAAAAAAAAGAAAATGGGTTGAAATTTCTCTTGAAATTTCTTTTTTGTAATAATAATGACACGAAAACCGAGTTCAGTATTTTTTCGCTAATGCCACAAAAGTTTTCCACCGGAAATCATAAGCTCCCAGCATATAACAATCCAATCGTCTAAGTTTTATTACTTGGTAATTGGTAGAAGTTTGATTAATCACTGTTCTTGTACAAAGTAACGTAAAAGTACCGAAAGACAATATAATTAGTTTTCGAGTTCCTGAGGTTCGTCACTTCAGGTCTCGGGACTTACTCATTGTACTAAGTACCTATTCTTCTAAACTTTCCACGTTTATTTTTTTCGATCACCTCATGTATACGCTGAGTGTATTGTTGACGACTATTTCTTTTGACCATAACGTAATTATGTCACTAAACAACCTTATAAAATGAGCAAAAACGACAAAAACGCAGCGTGTGTATTTGAATGTATGATATCTTATTCAAATTGTACCATACTGCTACTTTGTATTTTTATAAAAAGCTGCACCTCATATATATTTGTAAATTATTAACAATATTGTAAATTATTCTTTAAAACTGTATAAAATCTATAAAATAATTATTAATACTTGCGTGTATTATTTAAACTAATTATTATACTAATGATAATAGTTTATACTAATTTATACTAAATACATTTTTATCACTACAACTTAAATACTAATATTTCAGAAATTCAAGCCAACAATATCTAGACTATTCTAAATTACCTTACTTTTTTTCAATAAATATAATTTTGTTGTTTCATAATATGTTAATATACTTATTGAATTAATGAACATAATACAATTTTTTTTGTCTTCAAATCTTGAGTTTAAAAAATTCAATGGGTTTTATATTTTTAATCACATTTTATTTTAACACCTGATATTTTAAAAATAATATCAAACGATTTTCAACTCATTTGAGTTATCAAAATCAAATTTGATATGTAATTTAAAAGTTTTGTAAATTATACTAATTAATATTTAATTTTAATGTCTTTAATTTCAAATATACCTTGATAATTAATATAATTGTATACTAATTAGTAGCATGCAATAAATTACTTTTGTAAGTATAAATTACTTTGCATTGATTATTATAAATTTATTATAAATTACAGTATATTTAAATATGACATTTAAATCTCACCAAAATAAACCTAAGACTATAATTATAAGTTATAATTTATAACTATATCCATAAAACGGCTGAACTCAACTACAATTAAAATTGAAAACTGTTTATTTAAATGTAAATCATAAAAAATATTTACATCATATTACACACCCACCTGGAAATTAAACAACAACATTTGTAATTTTGTTTAATTATATCAGATTTATTGAAATTTAAAGTAATCATTTGTCAAATTTACAACTTATTCTCGAAAAAAATATAACCAATTTTTAGTTTTATATGAACTTGAATTGCATAATATGATTTATTGTTTTATAACGTTTAAATCAAAAACATTATGTGAATTTGCTAATGGTTTAGTGATTTCATTCATAGTAAAATAAAACTCATTATTAAAATGCAATAATTATATCGATGTCATTGTTCAGGATCTACTTATTTTATAGTACATCATATTTGTACAAACAGTGAACTATTTATAAATATATAAAACTGTTGCTACTCGTATTTTGTTTCGTTTTGGTTTGTTGATATGTTTAGTGTATATTATAATATAAACATAACGAAACTTCACGAAATATAATATGATGTTTTTACATAGCCACATTTCACAGACCTTCCTAGAAAATTTGAAATTATCCTAACCAGACTCCAGATCAGCCACACTCAAATTATTCACAGTCATTCATTAAATGACCCCAATTGTCATGTGGCACCTGTCTTATAGTTAAACACATAATGACGGAATGCCGTTCTTACTGACCTTAAAACTTTCGAAACATTTTGCAGATTCTCTCGGATAAAACCAATCATTGCTAGCAGCCACCATTGAATTAATCACAAAAGCAAATCTTCAAAATAAACTATACAACTATATAAATTTATTCACAAACTTGTCCTTATGTCATTAGAATTAAGCCTTCAATATTAATATTATAATAAATACTTATATCACAATGGCCTATGTTCTATGTCGCCAAAGGAATTTTTATCAATAAATAAAAAATATATTATATAAACATAAATCAATACGTTATATTAAATATTCTATACGATATGATATATTTTAAATGAATTTATTTTCTGATTTAAAATTATATATTATACATTTAGTATTATAAATATTGTCTCTCGTCACAAATCCCAAATGAACATTTTTATTGCAAATGTACTGAACAAACACATTAATAAAACATTGATCGAGCAAAGCTCATTTTTAGGCTTTGCGGATAATAGTACAACATACTAGGTGTTTTAGGAATCAAAAGCTTAGGATGTACTGGCGATAAAAGAATAAAAATCGGGAAAATGATCGATTTTTGTACTTATGTGTCACAGAAAATCAAA